GGGGAAGGGAAGGTTGGCAGTGGCCAGAGCCAATGGAAGGACCTGAAGAGTGACAGCAGATGGTTTCAGGAGATGATGTGGCCTGCTGAGGGGATGGAAAGAGTGTGAGCAGTGAGACGAGGTCACGGGAGGAAGCACAGCCCTTTGGGGAAGGGATGACCCAGTGCAGGTAGATGACAGACGTAAGAGCTTTGAGGTGAGATGCATGGGTCCTAGAGAAGAGGCAGGGTGCTTCCCCTGGTCAAGAAAGGAAACAATGCGTCCATGAGGAAAGGTTGCGGGAAGGAGTGTCCAAATGGGGCCTTGATGCAATGTGACAGGAGGGTCATCCTTCAGAGACAACCAAAGTGATGGGATGCACTCAAGGGAAGACCGAGAGTGGAGCGCAGTGATAGGGAGAGGGCTGGACACCAACAAGGGGAGCAGGAAGAGGAGGGAGGGAGGGAGGAACCCAGGCTGATCTCAGAGCTGCCAAATGGAAGGAAATTCAGTGCTGGCCCTGGCATGGAGAAAGAAGATTGGAAAAGGGATGGCGAGCAGTGGGTGTACAGCCGTGGCTGTTCTGGTGGCCTTGAAATTTATGGCAAGGGTAGAACTTTGCATCCAGGCTCTTTACTACGATCCAGCGGTACAAGTGTCAAGTTGGGGGTCAGGTCTGGTTTGACAGGGATGGACAGGAAAGCAGCGTTGGCACTGATGGGCTTTTGGATGGGATTGGGGGACTTCAGCCAAGCCCCACGTACTGAAAAAACCATCTTCTCTAACTGAGCTTGTGGACTGATTCCACGTCCAGTGTTGAGTGATGACTGCAGGTTGACGAAAGACCAGTGACTCCTCCCGGAGAGGACACAGGAGGGTATTGGCGGAAAAGGGGGAAGGGAAAGGTCTGGTTGGTGGGCAACAGAGGGGCGTGAGGACCACAGGGGCAAGTCTGCAGGAAGACTGTGTCATGGATCTGATGAGGAGGGTAACTTAGGGAAAGTGCTGGAAAGGACCGGATTGGGACCAAAGATATTGTCATAACTTCTGAGAATCATCAAGGATTGGGGGTCAGGAGAGGTATCAGGATGGAATGTGTGTGCAAAGAACAATGTTCTGCTGCAGACTGGGGTTAGGGGCATGTTGAGTGTCAAAGAGCAAATATGGAAGGGAATGTGGTGGTTTCAAGAGGGCAGCACTGGGCCATTGGCAGTTGGGCCAACGCTGGGATCTTCGAGGAAATGTGTCAATGGCAGCCAGTAGGAGGCTAGAGGCGCAAGGGGAGGCGGGGTGCAGCTCAGGGGTCAGGTTGGGCTTCCACAGCAGTGATTCTCCCCGGGGGTGGGGGGGGTGATTTCACCCGAGGGGGGGATGTGGGCATGGACCCCAAGGGAGGCCTATCAGAACATCTGGGGGGGCGGGAGCAGTGCTCTGCTCCAAACAAAAACCAAAAAAAAAACAAAAAAAAAAAACCCCCAAAGATGATATGATAGGCCACCTTGGGGGTCATGCACCCTCGGGTGAGNCCTTGGGGGTCATGCACCCTCGGGTGAGAATCACTGGGTGGAAGGGGCAGAGGGCAGAGCTGGGCAGGCAGGTGAAGCATGAGCAGAGGGGCCCCTGAGTCGGGGTAGATGGAGGTGTCAGAGTCAAGACTGTCAGACACGGTGGGGGTGGAAGGACCCTGGACCAGGCAGACAGCGAGCAAATGGATGTAGCCGAGAAGGCATCTGGCGGTGACCTGGGACTCACCGTCAGCGGGTAGCGCGCCAAGGTTCGGTCCTGGAGCTGAGGACTCCCGAGTAGGGCTGACTGAGATGGGAGTTGTGAATAGGGAAAGTCGGGTTGTGCAGATGTGTACACAGCACTGGGCAGAATGGCCTCACAGAAAGAATGGTAGATGGGGTGGGAGACAACACTGAAGAAGAACACCTGGGAGAGATTCCTACTAGGTAGGGAGGAGGAGAGGGAGAGGGGTGGACTGTTGTACCCAGGGCTCTGTGCAGGTTGACACTGAATGCCTTGGTGTGGGTTGGGAAGAATCAGGGCGAAAGGGAGGGCAGAAGACTACAGACCTGGGGTAACAGGAAAAAGGAGGAAGAATCACAGAGAGAGGCTCCCCTAAGCTGTGTCAGATGAGTGTGTGATAAAGGGTCTGGATGGAAACATGGAAGGTTATAGGGAGTGATGTCTGCAGGTCCCGAGAGGAAACCACAGCCTGGTCCACAGGATGTGAGCAGGGGCTGGTGGGTGGAGTGTGCGATTCAGGACAGTATGTCTGAGGCCGTGATGACTGAACTGGGATGAGTAGCGGGTGAGGGACCAGGAAGGGAGCGCACAGCAGAGCAGACGACTGAATCCAGCCGGAAGGGTCAGAGACGGTAGCTGACAGAATGTCGCATGGCTCAGGTAGGACGGTTCCTTTGCTCTGTATGCAGCAGAGAAGCCAAGCAGGAGAGATGGTGAAACAGGCCCAGGAGGTCGGAGATCAGGTGAGCAGTCTGGAACACTGGGAGAGTGTGGAGGAGGACAGGTGGT